CACAATAAGATTTTCAAACACTTGACCATCCTGGACACTTCAAATTTTGTTGCTGCTGTTTGGCTTCCAGTAACCTTTATTAGGTAAGGGATTTTGAATGGACACAATACTCTAGATGTAATAGAAAAGAATCACCTCCCACGTTCTGGACCCCATATTTCTTTTTTTTTTTTTTTTGGACCCCATATTTCTAAAAACACAGGTACTGCGCCCTGATGGCTATGGCTACTATGGAACTTGTCAAATGGAAAAATTCTCGGTGTCGTAAAAATTAACCAATCAATCCATGAATAGTTATTAAGCCTGATTGTGTTGAGGTTTTATATGCAAGGTTGTAAAACCACCATCACTGACAGCCAGAAAAACACACTGTGAGGTCAGACATAGATGTGTAGATAGATGTGGGGGACACTGTTCTGATCACTAAAATTAAACACTGCTGCTCCCAGAACATGGCAAACTCTCTCAGGCCTCCCTGGCCTTGAACGTGGCATTCCCTCCACTTGGGATTCTCTCCTCTCTTGTGCTGGTTATCAATGTATTGCCTCTTGACTCCAAATTCATCCTTTTTGTCTTCCCTATGAAAATGGATCTGAGCCCTTTATTTTTTTCTTTTTTTGCCAGCTGGCACAGTGTTAAGCTTTATCAGTAGAGGGTGCTGGAGAGACACAGCAGGAGGAAGAGGGGTTCCCACTCTGGTTCCCACATGCTTGTTCACAGGCTTCCCCAGTGCCAGGATCTAGCGGCTAGTAGCTTCTGCTGGCATGCCTCCATTTCCAACAGTTCTGTAGCAGAGCACCTCCCAACAGATGCTTTATTGTGAACAACTTTCCCAGGACACTCAGAGTGGGAGTAGTGTTGCTGGCAAGTTCCAGATGGCAAATGCCCATCAAAATCCATTGATAGCACAGCACCCTCACTGCCAGTCAGCAAGCTGAGGCCACGTGCCTCCCACAAGATCTGGATTTCAGCCCTGGAGTGAGTAGCTGTTTATATCTGCTGCTTTTGTGATCCTTAGTAATCTCTTTACTTCATACTAGTCAGTACCTTGTTATTCCAATCCCTGTTATCATCAATAATTCTTCATTTTAAGCTTCCCCTGTTCAAATTACAGTGTATTTTTAGTCTTCTAGTTGGACCCAGATTGATACACCTCCCTTATCCAACTGATAAACTTCTACTTATTCCTTGAGACTGGCCTTAGACATCATTGCTATACTTTACCTGGCAAAATGTCTGATAGATACATGTCGAATGTATTTATGCATGCATTCATGTATGAATGAATGGTTTCCATTACTGCTTGGAAGTCATTCAGTAGCTAGTTTGGCGAGTGAGATTTTTTTTTTTTTGATTAATGACCATGATCCCAGAGATGCCAGGGTCAGACAATGCTGGATTTGGTATCTTAGGGGAAGAGCTTAGTCCTCTCAGAGTATGTTATTGAAGCTGGTGTCCTACCATCAACCTAAGCAAAAATAATATACATTATAGGAAAATACATATAAATTCACATTACCCTGGTAGGTGCCACATCTCTAACCACCCTAAAAAAAGTGGGCATAAAAATCATTGACACACACGCGTACTCACACACATACCTGTTTACTTTGCTTATCTTGCCTGCATAGATTGCCCACATACATAAATACTCATATATATCAACAAATGTATTTCTTTTATAATATTATTCATCACACTATTTTGTTCACCTTCTACCATCAACTTTGTTTTGGTGCCCTGTCTCAGTTTCCCTCCTCTGCAGAATACTGAGTTATGAGGTTTAAAAGAGGTAATGTTTTTGTAATGTTTTTGATATAAGGCCAGACATAATAAAGCACTCTTTTAGTGTTAAAAATAAACTATCATAAAGTAGAAACAAACTTAACAAAGAAGACAAAAGATCTGTACACTGGAAACTACAAAACACTGCTGAAAGAAATCAAAGAAGACACAAGTAAATGCAAAGACATTTCACGTTCATGGATTGGAAGACTCCATATTGTTAAGATCTCAGTTCTACCTAGAGCAATCTGCAGGTTACAGGCAATCTTTTCAAAATGCCAACTTTTTTTTGGTAGAAATAAAAAATTCATCCCAAAATTCACATGGAATCTCAAAGGACCCTGAATATCTGAAACAATTTTGAAAAAGAACAGAGTTAGAAGCTCACACTTCCTGATTTCAATACTTTTTACAAAACAGCAGCAATCAAAACAGTGTGGCACTGACATAAAGACAGATGTATGGACCAATGACATAGAATAAGGAGCCCAGAAATAAACCTTCTCCTATGTGGTCAAACAATCTTCAACAGGGGTGACAGATCATTCAATGGGGAAAGGACAGTGTGTTCAACGAACAGTGCTGGATACCCACAAGTAAAACAATGAAGTTAAATGGTTATACAACACCATATACAAAAACTAACTCAAAATAGATCAGAGGCATAAACAGGTAAAAACTCTTCTTAGAAGAAACAGAGGGGCATGACATTAGATTTGACAATGATTCCTTGGATATGACACCAAAAGTATAAACAACAAAAGGAAAAAATAGATACGGTGGACTAATTAAAATTTATAACTTCTATTCATCAAAGGACTTTGCCAAGCAAATGAAAAGGCAACCCACAGAACAGGAGAAAACATTTGCAACCATATATTTATAAGGGATGAGTACCCAGAATATTTAAAGAACTTCTACAGCTCAGCAACAACAACAAAAACCCAATTTAAAAATGAGCAAAGGGGGGGCATAGCTGGCTCAGTCAGAAGAGCATACAACTCTGGATCTTGGTGTCATGAGTTCGAGCCCCACGGTGGGTGTAGAGATTACTTAAAAATATTTTTTTTTATAAAACTGAGCAAAGGACTTGAATAGACTTTTCTCCAAAAAATATATACTATAAGCACAGGAAAAGATGCTCAACATCACTAAACATTAGAGAAATACAATCCAAACCATAAAGAGATACCACTCACACTCATTAGGATAAGAAAGAAAGAAGAAAGAAAGAAAGAAAGAAAGAAAGAAAGAAAGAAAGAAAGAAAGAAAGAAAGAAAGAAGAAAGAAAGAAAAGAAAGAAGAAAGAAAGAAAAGAAAGAAGAAGAAGAAAGAAAGAAAGAAAGAAAGAAAGAAAGAAAGAAAGAAAGGAAAGAAAGAAAGAAAGAAAGAAAGAAAGAAAGAAAGAAAGAAAGAAAAAGAAAACAAGTGTTGGTGGAGATGTAGACAAACTGAAATTTTTGGGCACTGTTAGTGGGAATGTAAAATGGAGTCCCTGTGGTAGAAAACAGTATACTGGTTTCTCAAAAAATTAAACATGGAATTTCCATATGATACAGCAATGCTACTTCTGGGTATATACACTAAAAAACTGAAAGCAGGGACTCAAACAGATATTTATACACCAGTACTCATATGAGCATTATTCACAATAGCCAAAAGGTGAACGCAACCCAAATATCCATTGACAGATGAATGGATAAACAAAAAGTGGTATGCACATAATGTAATGTTACTCAGCTTTAAAAAGGAATGAAATTTGGGCCCCAGGTACAGCATGGATGAACTTCAAAGACATTATACTAAGTGAAATACGCCAGACACAAAAGGACAATTATACATCACTCTGCTGATATGTTGTACCTTGAATAGTCTAATTAATAGAGACAGGAAATAGAAGAGAGGTTAGCAGAGGTAGAGGAGAGAAGATGGTGGGGATACAGAGATTTAGTTTGGGGTGATGAAACACTTTTGGAATTGGTTGGGGTCGTGGCTGTACAACAGTGTGAATGTACCTGATGCTACTGAATTGTGTATTTTTAAGTGGTTAAAATCGTAGATTGTAATATATATCTTATCACAATAAAAATCTAATGAATAGGGGCACCTGAGTAGTTCAGTCGGTTAAGCGTCTGCCTTCGACTCAGGTTATGACCTCAGGGTCCAGGGTTGAAGTTCCACGTGGGGATCCTTGCTCAGTGGGGAGTCTGCTTCTCCCTCTCCCCTATCCCCCTGCTCGTCCTCTCTCATAAATAAATAAAATATATTTTTTAAAAATCTAAGGAATAAAATCAAAACAAAACGTAAAATCTTGCGCTCATTGTGCACCAGGTGGTGTCCTCAATGCTTTTTGTTTGTTGCTTGAGTTGAGCCTCTCCACCACGCTACGTAGCGCATAAAATTGTCACTCCCGTTTCACAGATGAGAAATGGAGGACCAGTGAAGTTAAGTGTTTTGCCCATGGAAAAGGAGAGATTAAGTGGTAGAGCGAGGAAAGGGGCCCCAGAGGTCAGAGTCAGCCCCTGTACCCTGCATGGCACATCCTCCCAGCTGGCTGAACAAATCCTGAGTGTTGTCTCTGCACAGGAAAGGAGAAGGTGAAGTGAGGAGGGGCCCAGCCTAACCTCCTCCCAGCTCCTGGACTTCCCGCAAGCCCTCCATGCAGCACCTCCCTGATGCTGGGCAAACCATGTGTGTCCAGAGTCTGGACCCTTACTGTTGGTGGCAGAGGCTTTTGAGGGAAGATGCGACCCCAGATACAGCCACTGTCAACATTAAGGGGCATGTGACCTACCCCCAGCTAGCGCAAGGAGAGGCTTCTTTAAACATTCTCCAGGAAAAGTTCTGAGGGAGCAGAGGTCAGTCTGGAACTGCCTAGAGATTACTGGGCCCCTCACCCAGCTAGAAATCCTTGCAAGTTCAAAAAGAAAAAAGAATGGAATAACTAATCCTATTGGTGAATCATTCACTAGAACATCTGCACAATCTGATTTGGGGGAAATTTTTAGCTGGGAGATTTCAAAATGTTAATGTCTTGCTAATGTCTCTGCTGCTTTTCAATATATTAATATATTGAATTAATATATTATGCATTAGTAGTGGTATGCTAGTTTTCAATATGTTACTATATCTTTCTTTCCTGAATGTTCTCCCTCTTTCTCTCTCTGGCCATAAAAGTAACCAGTATTTTCACAAAGGCTCTGTGTTATTAATATTTATTGAGAATTTACTACTTGTACGCTCTTTACATGTATTATTTAATCCCTACAACATCCTCATTTTATAGCTGAGAAAACACACAGAGGTTAAGTAACCTGTCCAATGTCAAATAGCAAGGAAGTGGCAAGCTGACAGTCACACCAGGCAGGCTGATCCAGCTCCTTATTATAAATCAGTGCTGTAAAAAAAATAAATAAATAATTTTAAAAATAAAAATAGGGTGAATGGGTGGCTCAGTCGGTTAAGCATCTGCCTTCGGCTCAGGTCATGATCTCAGGGTCCTGGAATCGAGTCTGGCATTGGGCTCCCTGCTTTGAGGGGAGCCTGCTTCTCCCTCAACCCCTTCGCCCTGCTTGTGCTCTCTTCCTCTCTCATGCTTGTGCTCTCTCTCTCAAATAAATATATAGAAATGAATAAACTTAAAAGATAAAAATAAATAAAAGTTTAAAAACCACTTTAATTAATTAATCAGCCCCATGGCATTGGGAAATTCCCTTTACGCTTTCAGGTCTCCTTTTTCCTCACCAGGGAAAGGAAGGGATTGGACCAGATGTTGTGTAACATTTCTTTCCAGCTTGAATATGCCCATTTTCTTGTCCTTGCATGCAAACGATACTTCACCATGTGCTTTGCGGATGGGTGTCCACCAACATTCCCTGCTTGAATTATGGGTGCCATTAATGCTGTAGGGCTGGAAAGGAAACTTGATCTCAGCTGAGACTGACAGTGCCCCTGAGCTATTTATCATTCTTTTGTCCTGCCCCAAACAACCTTTATGCTTCAACTGCCCTCACCCCCTGACCATCTAAATATCTCAACTATCTTAACAAAGTCTCCCCAGACTCTGAAATAACTCAGTAAAAGAACAACATACCTAATGACTCCAGACTGAGGAGAAGAGTGTTCAAATTGATGTTCTTAATACAATTCCCTCTTTCTTCTCCCGGATTCGCAGAATTTCTTCTCACTTATGAATTTTCTAATAAGCCCGGATAGTGGTGTGCTGCTAATGTTTAACAACCAGCTCTCCCAGAAAACAAAAAAAGCCCTGATGGGTAGCATCTGCTGACTTCTGTGGTTTAAATATTCCCACTATGGCTGGTGGTTTCCCACTAATGCCAAGTCACTGAACACAGAGTTGGAAAGAAATATGAGCCAATAGGAGCTGGCACCAGCACACCACTGAGTCTGGGTCATAGTACTATACATTTGTAAGCCTTGCAGCCTAAAGGATTCTTCACGAATTTATTCATTCATCCATTCAACAAACTTTTTTTTATTATACTAGGAACATGAACAAGGTATCTATCAAATGAGCTCTTTATTACAAACCCATTGCCTTATTGGGTTTATTACAAAATAATATTATTTTTCCAATACTCTCCCCGAGAAGTTTCTTGAGACAAGGCAGGTGGAATGATGGCTTTTCTACCTGCAAATAATTCACTTACCCAAACCAGATGAAATGATTTGCTTCTTTTGAGTTAGAAATTCTTTTTTTAAAAAAAGATTTATTTATCTATTCATGAGAGACACAGAGACATAGGCAGAGGGAGAAGCAGGCTCCTCACAGGGAGCCCGATGTGGGACTTGATCCCGGATCCCAGGATCACACACTGAGCCAAAAGCAGACGCTCAACCGCTAAGCCACCCAGGTGTCCCTGAGTTAAAAATTCTTATTAACATTCTAAGCATTGAGGAAAGTGCCATCAGAATAACTTTGACAACAAAACCCAAACTGCTTTATTATAGAAAGTTTACAAAACAAAACCAAAAGCAAACAGCTCACCTCTAGAAAATGCTTATCTACACATAACCCTTCTATAACATCTTTTTTCTACATTGGTATATTCAAGATCTCAGGCATACTTTATGTCTCCATAGGCCTCTCTGAAGTTAAGGAGAGTAACCAAGAATGAGTACCTGGAGTAATTTGTCAGAGCTGTTAACATGTATTTATGTTCAAGAATGTTTATTATTTATAAGCAAGGAAAAATGAAAGCAACCTAAATGTTCGACAAGGGAAAAGTTGAATAAATTATGATGTAGCCATTAGATATTTATGCTTTCAGTAAGTATTTATTAACATTAAAAAAATGCCCTAATTGTAGTAAGTGGAAAAAGTAGCATGTAAAATTTTATAAATAATATAATCCTGATGGTTATTTTTTCAGTCTGTTTGCATTAAAGAAAAAACAAAAAGACATATCAGAAATATATCAAAATCATTACAGTAGCTATCTCTCTTTCTTTTTAAGATTTTATGTATTTATTTGGGAGAGAGAGAGAGAGATTGAGAGCAAGCACACAAAGGGAGAGGGAGAGGGAGAAACAGACTCCCTGCTGAGCAGACAGCCCAACGTGGGGCTCAGTCCAAGGACCCTGAGATCATGACCTGAACAGAAGGCAGATTTTTTTTATAAATTTATTTTTTATTGGTATTCAATTTGCTACATATAGAATAACACCCAGTGCTCATCCTGTCAAGTGCCCCCCTCAGTGCCCGTCACCCAGTCACCCCCACCTCCCGCCCACCTCCCCTTCCACCACCCCTAGTTCGTTTCCCAGAGTTAGGAGTCTTTCATGTTCTGTCTCCCTTTCTGATATTTCTCACTCATTTTTTCTCCTTTCCCCTTTATTCCCTTTCACTATTTTTTATATTCCCCAAATGAATGAGACCATATAATGTTTGTCCTTCTCCGATTGACTTACTTCACTCAGCATAATACCCTCCAGTTCCATTCATGTCAAAGCAAATGGTGGGTATTTGTCGTTTCTAATGGCTGAGGAATATTCCATTGTATACATAAACTACATCTTCTTTATCCGTTCATCTTTCAATGGACACCGAGGCTCCTTCCACAGTTTGGCTATTGTGGACATTGCTGCTATAAACATCGGGGTGCAGGTGTCCCGGCGTTTCATTGCATCTGTATCTTTGGGGTAAATCCCCAGCAGTGCAATTGCTGGGTCGTAGGGCAGGTCTATTTTTAACTCTTTGAGGAACCTCCACACAGTTTTCCAGAGTGGCTGCACCAGTTCACATTCCCACCTACAGTGCAGGAGGGTTCCCCTTTCTCCACATCCTCTCCAACATTTGTGGTTTCCTGCTTTGTTAATTTTCCCCATTCTCACTGGTGGAAGGTGGTATCTCATTGTGGTTTTGATTTGTATTTCCCTGATGGCAAGTGATGCGGAGCATTTCCTCATGTGCTTGTTGGCCATGTCCATGTCAACAAAACTCAAAGACAACCTACAGAATGGGAGAAGATATTTGCAAATGACGTATCAGGTAAAGGGCTAGTTTCCAAGATCTATAAAGAACTTATTTAACTCAACAGCAAAGAAACAAACAATCCAATCATGAAATGGGCAAAAGACATGAACAGAAATCTCACAGAGGAAGACATAGACATGGCCAACAGAAGGCAGATGTTTAACCCACTGAGCTACTCAGGTGCCCCATAGCTATCTGATTGATAGGATTAGGGTGATTTTTTTTCCTCTTGGCGTATTTCTGAAATTTTTTAAATAATGAAAAGAAAACATAAACTAGATTTGAACTCTCAACATTGGAATTAGTTTCTCAGGAATGAAATGATGCATCCCTATGTACATATAGATTCAGTGACCTAGCCATCTCTGTGGATCAGATCTGCCACCCACCTACATACCCACCCAGTCTGACATTTGCCACCACCATCCCCATCCCACTCCCAACCTCCCGAAGTGTCCCAAATCTGGCATAGCAACATAACCTATGTTTTGCAGATATGACTACAACATCCAGCTATTTGGAAGCACCAATGATTACCTTAATTTTTCACATGCCTTTCAGATATCTGGCATTGGGTAAATGCAATCAACCTCACGTAGACATATTTCCAGCTATTAAAAACCAAACACATTTGTGTTATCTCCTGCCCTTGAGGTGCCTGATACAAGGGAAGCATGATTGAGTACCTCACTGATAAGGCTGAACAAATATGTCTTTTGAAACGGGCTACAGGAAAAACCCAGGTTGGAGATGTGCCATACGCGTTAAAATCTAGCTAAATGTGGGTAGAAGGTGGATCTCAATTTAGTGAACTGTGAATTCTAGAATGTTTGTTTAATAAAAGCCATTTTGTGACTTGCCAATCCAAATGGGCTTAAAGCACAATTTTATGAGTCTAAATCAAGGTAGCAAGCATATAATTGGCTCCTGCTCTTAGAAATAGGTAAGAATTATTTATAATGAGCATATCAGTCAAGTATGATTTAGTCCCTCTGATGTGTTTAAAACAACTTACTCAAAATAATAAAAAAGCAACTTATTCCCTTAAGTAGTGCAATGTTTAGCAATCTTATTTTTATTCTTAATTTGCTTACATCCACCTCTCCTCAAGGCAATCTCAAGCCAAAGCCTATCTAAAGCATCATAAATTTCAAACTGCTGAGCTAAATCAATAAGGTTTTATGGTACATCTTAAAAAAAAAAAGAAGAAGAAGAAGAAGCATAACTTAACTAAATGTCGCCAGAGAAATGCACAGAAGTTATTTCTGCCGTAGCTCCTTCACTATGGATGGAGGAACCAAGCAGTTCTATTTTCATTCATGAAGAGAATCTCCTAACAGCGGCCATATCATGGGACATGGACACCCCAAGCAAGAAGAAGCAGGAAAGCAGTTTTAGCTGCCCCTGAAAAAGTTTAGGGGCAGAAATTGCTAATACCAAGGAACATTCTATGGTGGATGGAAATATGTTATCTCTGCTTGGGTATCATTAATTTCATGGAAAAAATTTTATTGACATAATATTTGTTAAACGCCACCTTCACATTCTCTGCTTTATTCTTCTCCACTGCATATGTCACTGACATGCTCCATATCTAACTTTTTAAAAATAATTTTTATTGTTTGCCTCCCCCAGTTAGAATGCAAGCTTCATAAAGGCGTGAGTTTTTCTTTGGGGTTTTGTTTTTCTTTTTGTTTGGTTTTGCTGTATACATTTAGAATGCAGCCAGCACAGGAGCCTGGGCTGGCTCAGTCAGAAGAGTGGGCGACTCTTGATCTCAGGGTTGTGGGTTTGAGCCCCACATTGGGTGTAGAGATCACTACAACAAATAAATAAACAAAAATACATAAATAAACTTAAAAAACAAAGAATGTGCCAGCACATTGGAGATGCCTCAAAAGTAATTGTCAAATGAAACAAGCTCCTCATAATCGAAGAGGATATTCCTGAGACATCTAGGGTGAGGTGGCAAGAGCACTGGATTTGGAGTCCAAAGTAAGTAGCACTTTGCCTGGCTCAAAATAGACACTCAGTGACCATTTTTTGAGTGGAGATGGGTGGATGGATGTTATATGGGTAACTCCCCCTATCTGTGAAATGGGAATAATACTTCATTGTGGGAACAGCTGTGACATCTTAGTTACCTAATAACTCTTTTTTTCTCCTGCCTGATGTAGAGCGAACAGGAACAAGGCAGCGAGAATCCTTGCCGGTAGAAGACAAAGAAAGAAATCATTTCATCTTCCGTGTAAATGAGAGGAGACAGGAATTTGGGTAGAAGTGTATGTTTTTATTCTGTCTTGTAGTGCTGCCAAGCCAAGACAGTGTTTGAGCAGAGAGGCAGGCAAGAGGCAGCCAAGTGGAGCAGGTGAGCGGCCCGCCAGCTTCCAACGAGACACGAGTGAAAAACAGCCTTCAGTTTCACTTCAGTGACCTCCCTGAGCTGAGAGGCATCCAACTGTCAGGCAAGGTGATGAAAACCCTCGGTAGACGCTCCAGATCTTAGTTCTGGTCATTAAGTCTCAAGGGTAATCCAGCCCCAGCTTGCTTGTTCCTAAATTTGTGCTTTTTGCTGCAAGAGATAAAGCCTTCTGCTTTCTCATCCCCATGGAACATCCATTTTTGCCCCATGGGTGGCTTGCTCGGTGAAAGTGGATGTCTTTTGAGTGCAGCCCCCTCTGCTTCGGTGGGCAGACACAGGGAAGGAGGCTGTGTCCTGGGAAACAGCTA